GCTGGCAATGGATAGTGGAAGCACCATGGAGTGCCAAGAGAACCAACACAACTCTCTTAGAAGGAAGGACGGCCAGACCGAATGTCACCTGCTTTGGACGTGTTGTGTGGAGAGACCAGGCCCTGGAGAGAGGCCTCTGCTTGGTAAAGTAGAGGGGCAGCAGAAAGGACTCATCTTTTGTTGGAAGGATGCACTTCTCTCCAGAAATTTCCATCACCTGCCAGTCGGTCTACAGAACAGGAAGTAAAAGTTTTGAACCCTATCAATCCTTTTTGGGAAAACTCTCCAATTCCAAAAGTTTTGAAGACTGGGCTGGGCCATGCTCAATTCTACGTAAATTACTTTTTAAAATTCCAGACTACTTCCCTTCCTTAAGTATTCTTGCCCTAATTCAGACATGGACAGCTGTGAACCTGCCTTCCCTCCATACATGACTGTATCCACTAGAGAGGGACCTTTGTCTTCCAAAGTCGCACAAGGCCCTAGGAAAAGGCCACACAGAGGCCCAAGGGTCAAATATTCTGCCTGAGCAGATATGGATTGAGAAGAAGTCCTAGTGTGGACACTACAAGAAGTTCAGGTCCCAGTCAGGGAGAGGCAACTTATTTCCTCAACAAGGGGCGGGAGGGCTTCCCTGTTCTCATAAGTCAACCGTTGATAGACACACATCGGCAGAGGTCATGTGTTAGATCACAATGGGGGCCTGTAAACTGGCTATAGGAAAGACAGTGTCCCTGCCCCTAAGTCTTCTCACATAGCCACCTCCTCAATTTTCAGGCTGAATTGGTGACAAGCCCTCCATCTGAGCCAGCACCGTCCTAGTCACAGAACATGAGGGCTCTATAGACCTGACCTGCCTCACTAACCACATTACAATCTCCATCGGGTGGATCCTCAAAGGGCAGAGCCTTTGGCTCAAGGAGAGGATAATGCTTTCCCAGCACAGCAGCTCCCTCACCATAAAGACGTCAAGAGTGGTGAGGCTGGGGGAAACTTCTGCAATGTCATCCAGGCACTGTGGTTGTTCGGTGCCATCTAGTCAGTTCGCTACAAAAGAACAAAACACTGCCCGCTCCTCAGTCGTCCTCATGATTGTTATGTCTGAGCCCATTGTTCTAGCCACTGTGTCAGTCCACCTCACTGAGGGTCACTGTCTACTGTATAAAGCACAATGTCCTTTTCCACGGACTGGTCTCTCCTGAGACTACTAGGATACCAAGTCTCAGCATCCTTTCCTCTAATGAGTATTCTGTTGTGCATTTCCTCCATGACAGATTTCTTTGATCTTGTGCTACTTTCAATATTCTCCACCAACATCCTAATGCACACGCATCAATTCCTCTCTGGTCTGTCTTGCTCACTGTTCAGCTGTCATGTGCGTGGGAGGTGATTGAAAATGCCACAGCTTGGGGGAGGAGCCTATTAGTCCTCAGAGTGACATCTCTATCTCACAACAATTTTGAGAGACCCTGTGCAGCATACGGCCCAACGTGGTGTTACTTGCTTCATTTAAAAAATAATCATTTTATTGACATAAAATTCAGCTAGCATATACTTCCATGGTTCACTCATATTAAAAAGAGTTGTATAATTCTCGCTACAATCAGTTCTAGAGCATTTTCTTCCTTCTAGTACTCATTATTAGCTCCCCATTTCCCTGTGAGCTCCCTCTCATACCCGCCATGTGTCATTGATCCAGAGATTGTCTTTATAGATGTGTCATCCTTCATTCCATATACTTGAAAACATACAAAAATGCTTTTTTAAAGAAAACAACAATAACAAAATAAAACTGAAAAATAATCTTTATTGAGAAAAAGCAGGAAATACTAAAAATTAGAAAAAATGAGTCAAAAGAAAATCAAATGATTTGATTTGCATTTGAATATCTGCCAAATTACATCTGCCATCATACTGAGTTTACAATATTCTGTCTAATATTAAGGTGATTCACTAGACAATGGTCAGCAGAGATTCACCAGAATCTACAAATGAACTTTTGGCGCCCACTATCATCCATATCCTTTAGCAAAGAGTGTGCCCCCAATTGAAGCTCTGATACTATTCCCTATTTTGGATTTTAGTATTTATTATTCTTCAATTACACAGGATGGTGTGCTTCTTCCTTATGGACTTAGTTGACACCTTGTTTAGATGGCTACTTGTTTGAAGACAAGCCTTTAAGACTCCAGACACTATTCTTTTTGATAGCTGGGCACCATCTACTTTCTTCACCACATTTTGCTGTTGCACCCATACTTCAGTGATCTCTTCACAAAGGCGAGCATCAGGCAGGGCCATCTCATAAGAGCTGATTATTCTCAGACTGGGGCTACAATTAGTTACTTGCTTTCTTGACGGCTGCTTCCATGACCACTATGGTGGATTCACATCATGGAAATCCTTGACAACTTCGGTCCTTTCTCCATTTCACATAATGTTGTCTATTGGTTCAGTTCTGAGGATTTTTCTTTTCTTCACATCGTGCTGTGATCCATATTGACAATTACATTATTTGATTTTAATCAATAAGTGTTCCAAGGCCTCTTCACTTTCAGCAAGTAAGGTAGTGTCAACTGTATATCATAAGTTCTAATGAGCCTTCCTCGAGTTCTTTAGACAGTCCAAACTCTCAGATAATTTGTTTAGCACACCGTGTTAGTCTGGGTCAACTAGGGAAACAAATCCACAGAACAACAGATGTATATAAGAGAGAGTTTTATATAAAGGGCAAATGTACATTAAAAAAGCATCCTAACCCAGTCCTATCCAAGCCCATAAGTCCAAAATTAGCCCATATGTCTGACATCAATCTACATAGTCCTCCTCAATCTCACAAAACAAACGCAATGATGCCAATTGCAGGAGGAAAGCCGAATCAGTGAGTTTGTAAGCATCTCAGCGCTGGCAGGGATCTCCACACGGCTGCTCCAGCACCCAGGGTTGCATCAGGGTAGGTCCATATGGCTTCAATTCAGAGATGTCTTGCAGGAAGTGAGCCTTTCCAGCTGAAGCATGGAACTGGCCAAGGCAGGCGCACCCTGGTCTGACCATCACAAAGCAAGAGACCCAAGAAATAGACAGGTGAGGCTCACCAAGCCATTTATCTTTCCACCCTTCAGTTAATCCCACATGAGTTTATCTGCCAGGTTGGCACAATAAACCCTAACTATCTCACACAGAGACTAAATAAGTATGGTAAAAAGACACAATTCTGACGCACCTTTCCTAATTTTCAATAATACTCTGGTTCCATGTACAGCTTCTAAAAGAGTACAATTTTCGGTTCTAGAATTCCCACTCTCAATATTATCCATAATTTGTTATGCCCCAAACAGTCAAATGCATTTACATAGTCAACTGAAGATAAGAAAACATCTTTCTGGCATCTTCTGTTTTCAGGGAAGATCCATATGATATCAGTAATGATATCCCTTGTTCCATTGTCCTTTTATAAATCCAGCTTGACTTTCTGGCAGCTCCTTGTCCATGGAGGGTTGCAACCTTTTTTATTTATCTTGAGAAACATTTTACATGAATGTGATATTAATGATATTGTTCCATAATTTCTGCATTTGGATGGGTCACCATTTGCCATAGTTAGGTTTTCTGTGCCACATGACACCCGTGGAAAAATGTGGTTAGAGTTTGGCCTGTGAATCAGGTTGCAGCTTAATGACCTCTGTTGGAGGTACAACTGAGATAAATGGCTCTTGGAGACTGGCACCTTCCTCTCACTGATTTCACCTTTTTGCTGCTGAAGAACCACACTGAGACCTGCAAGCCCCTTGATGCCGCCACCACCATTAGATCCACAAGCCTTTGCACCCACCAGCCTGTGATGATCTCGCATTCTGCATCGTTGCATGTGGCTGCATGAGTCTGAAGGGGGACCAGTAGGAAATTTATGGGCTTGGGTTGGACTGGGCTGGGATGTGTTCCTGATCTATCCAGCTTCCTGATACAAAGCTCTCTACTACATGTGTAGATGAGGGTCACTAAATGTGTTACTCGAGTCAACCAGGTCTAACACACCATTCTTTGGAATGGGCACAAAAATGGATCTCTCCCAGCTGGTTGGCCAGGTTTGGCTGCCTTTCAAAGTTCTTGGCATAAGCCAGTGAGTGCTTCCAGTGCTGCATCAATTTGTGGAAACTTTTCACTGTGGGACTAAGTGTTAACACTGTCACTGTGGTTGCACAAAGTCACATTCAGGTCCTGTCTCACCTCTATGGTCTCCCCACTCAGCAGTAGAAGGGAGATGCCCCCTCCCAGAAAGAGGCAGTGTCTGGATGCCATGAGCACCGCCCTGCACATGTTCAGCTCTCTGGAGCCACAACTCCATCATTCCTTCAGTCAGAGGCTGGGAAGATGCTTGGACTGGACGATGGTAAATAGACTAGAGAACGTTCAGATGATAATACACAGGGGAAATGTACTTTATGTGATGCAATCAGCCCACTAGGTCCCATCCCAGCGAGCCGGAGGGCACTTGCAGAACTCAGGAGCTGGGAGCCCGCGGGCGACCAGGTACAATTGTTGAGGGAGAGGAACAATCTGAGGGAGCTTACCTCTCACCCCACCTCAGTCCTCCTGGATGGCTTTCCCCTGAAGGCAGAGGATGATTCAGGGAGAAGGACCTTCATGACTGATGCTCCATTTAAGTAGGAATTATCAAAAAGGAGGCCTCTCCTCACAAGGTGTGCCCATGGCCTAGGAAAGGTGCACGCAGGACCACCTGCTGGTAGTCATGACAGCGAGTCCTGATGGTGAGAATCCACAGGGCACGGGTGATGAATCTCAAGTTTCTCTCCTTCTCTGTCCACTGCAGGTGACAGGTCTGAAGGCGGTCTGGTCGTCTCTGCTGAGACCATCCCCCGCCTGGTGATTGCAGCCCTGGTCATAGTGCTTCTGGTGGTCACCCTGGGGTATTTCCTGTTCCGTGCCAGGACTAGAAGGTATGATGATGCACTCCCCACCTCATCGCCTGCTCTCAGACTGACCTCAGACCAGGAAGAGGGAGGTTACAGCCTTAGGTGCTGGACCTAGCTCAGCCTACGCCCCTGTTCACTCCCCCGAAGACTTGCCCTGTTCATTCCATCTAGGTTCCTGCCTCACAAGGTCTTCCCCGGAGACTGTGTCCTCAGTCTCTGCAACCACAGATTGAGCCCAGTAATGGCTCCATTCCTCGGGGAACAGTAACCCCTAATGTTTATTCATAACCACCGGGTCCACGGAAATTGCTTTCTTGTGTTCTTAGCACCCGCTGGGTCAGCTTTCTCTTGGACCGGCAGCTGCCTGAGGCTCCTTTTCTTCTGGGGCAGAGGCAGATGTGGCTTCTTTTCTGATTGTCTGTCTGTCTGTCTGTTTCTTTGTCTGAGGTGAACCGCTTTGGTAGTAAAGGCTCCGAGTCCATTTCAATTGTTCTTTTCCTCCTCTTTTGGAATCCGCTCCAAGCGCTCTGTAGGCGGGAAGGATAAGGAACCTGGAGGGCTTTTTTGGTTTTGTTTTTACGAAACATATGATATAGGTGCACACAACCCATCTCAACAATTGAACTCAAGATCAATACCATGCTCAAAATACCATGTATGTGGTTCTTTTACTCCCTCCCCACACCCAGTGTGTCCTCCCTCTGTTCAGCTACCTACGACCACTCCCACCCCAGCACCGCAGCGATGGCGAGAGGAAATTTCCACTCCGCTGCTGGAACTTGGCCCCTCTCTCTGGCCTCTGTCTGATCTCATGCCCGTGACCTCTTCTGTGTCCCCACAAGTAAAAAACCTTTCCTAGGGGCTGCAGTCAAAGGGAGCCTGAAGATCAGAACCCTCCAGCATCGAACCTGAGTAAGTGCACATTCAGCCTGGAGAACTGGGTGCCCTGAGACCTCTCCCTAGAGTGCCTCCGACCATTGCCTGTGGTTTTTGGAAGAGAAACATAGAACAATCCAGACAGCCTTCAAAGTGGCCACATCAGCCCTGACCTGTGGGACTGGGACCAATGATACTCGTGAATATCACCTGTCTCCTTTTGTGTCCCAAATGTCCCAAGGGCCTCTCTCCAGGAGATGCTCTCATTTACATGAGTCTCTCAAGGCTGAGAACCTGCCAGCTCCTCCTCCTCTGAGGGCTCCCAGGCTCCTTTATGCAAACGTGTCCAGTGCTAACTCTCCTCTCTGTTCCCCAGGTCATGGTCAATCGGACAGTTTTACCTCTCTGGTAAGCTAATCCCCTACACGCCACTTCAGCAGGGGTCTCAGTTGTGCTAGCTTAGGGCAGGGGTGCTGGCCAACCCTCACACAGCAAAGACCCATCAACCTCCCAGTAAATCCAAAGCAGAGTTAGCTACCCTGCCCAGTAGCTGGAGTTCCCTTAAGGAATACAGTCCACCCTATATCCTGTTGTGAGCCCACCCTGAGACAACTCAGTGTCTTTAAGGGAAGACATAGAGTGCAGCAAGGGAAACAGAGTGGTCCCTGGAGAGCAGCCAGGGATCCTCAGATAACAGGGGTAAGTAGCGGGGATGCAGCAGGAAGGGGTCAGGTGTTTTGTTACAGACAGGGAACTGATGACTGATTAGAAGAGGTGGTCCCTCTTGGTGTTAAGTGACCTAAAGGCCCAGGAATAAGAGTTACAAACTGTCATGGATGAAAACCTTCTAGACCAGTGACCTGGTGCCTGTGCACTTGGATCCTTGTCCTGATGGACAATTCTTTGTCTCTTTCTGATGACCTCTCTTCTTCCTGCCCAGGAGCCCCTGTATGCCAACCAGGCAGTTCCTGTCTATGAGGTGAGTGTGGACCATGAACATTCTGGGTTTACAGATCCACGGTGGACCATGACTTGTCCCAACATGCATCTGTCTGTGCTTTGAATTCAGGAGGCAGCAGCAAAGATGACGGCTGGGGTAGTGGGCAGGAAGGGGGCTGGGATCAGGACTCCCCTGCGTAAAGCCAGGCCCAGCTCAGAGAAGAGCTGTCAGCCCAGAGCAGAGGAAAAGCTGGAACAGGGTCTCAGAGGGTTGCAGGGGACTCACTGGCCTCTTGTTCTTTTGGTTTGCTTGCTTTTTTACAGGAACTACTAGAGCCTGACACACACATTTACAGCAACATGTACCCATGAACACCAGCAGCCTTAGGACCGGCTCCTTAGGGGCTGAAAGGAGATGCCAACCTCAGCCCCGGGCTCAAGCAAGACCAGAACAAAGCTCTCCCACTCCTCCTGCACCAAATAGTGGGATGCCTCCAGGAAAGTTAACTCTGGGCCTCATCTACCCATCATGGATTACACAGCTCACCAACAGTTTTTATTTCTTGGGATCTTGATTTTTCAGTTTTTTCCCGGAGTTATTTGGGGTTACTGGTTCAGAAAATTGCACTAGATAGACTACATCCGCTCTCATTTCTCATATATTTATTCTACTGTATTTTTAGACAAAGTTGTACTTATTTATTCATATATCATCCAACCCACAAATTACAGGATAAGCCAAAAGGGATAAGAAAAATTTGGAAAAGCATTAGATATTAAGAGATTTCCAAAGGACGTTGAATGTGGACCAATGGTGATGACATTGTGAAATGGTTAAAGTTGATTGTGCCAACCTGTCTGATAAACACATGTTGGATTAATTGAAGGGCAGAGAGATAAATGGCTCAGTGCACCTCACCTCCTGGTTCTTGGGTCGCCTGCTCTCTGATGGTTGGACCAGGATGCACCTGCCTTAGCCAGTACCCTGCTTCAGCTGGCAAGGCTCACTTCCTGTGAGACATCCCTGAGGTGAAGCCACATGAACCTACCCTGATGCAGCCCTGGGTGCTGGAGCAACTATGTGGAGACCCCTGTCAGCTCTGAGATGCTTACACACCACTGGATTCAAGGACTTTCTTCCCCTGGCCTGTGATCCTCTTGCATTCGGCATCATCGTGTGTCTTTTCTGAGTTTGAGGAGGACTTTGTAGATCAGTGTCTGACATATGGTCTAAGTCAGACTTACGGGCTTGGACTGGACTGGGTTGGGATGCTTTCCGATTGTACACTTACCCTATATATAAAACTCTCATACATATATGAGTTTCTGTGGATTTGTTTCTCCTTTACCTAGACTGACACAGATGTTTATGAACTGATGTGCCTAAGGTAAGGTCAGTAGTTTGAACTCACCTATTATAAATACCACTATCATTATTTTCGATTAACTTGAAGATATAATAAAGGTGCAGGGATGAGTCTAGTCTGTCAATCAAGTCACAGCCTGATGGTGACCCCTTGTGGGTGTGGCATTTTTAAATGGAGGGTCCAGGGAACCTCCTCCATACCCAGCCCCCCACTCTGCCTTTACCTTCCTGCCTGCTGATCCTGATGGCAGCCAGAGACCTCGAGATGCATCCACCGCCATTGGATCCAAAGGACTTTGCACCCTCTGGTCTGTGATATTGCTGCATTCTGCATCATTGCTTGTGACTGTGTGAGTCTGAAGAGGAACTTACGAAGTGGTGTCAGACTTAGAGACTTTGGTTGGAACGGGCTGGGATGTTTTCCTGATATATAAAGTTTCTTGCTATAAAGCCCTTTCTTGCCTGTGTATGAGTGTCACCGGATTTGTTTCTCTAGTCAACCCAGCCTATCATAGGAGCCTTTAAAATATTAAAGTGTTGGAGGAAATCCAAAGAGGCAGGTCTTCTCTGTCCTATAAGGTTTCTATCTATGAGTTAGACTCAGTTAGTTGGTAGTAGGTTTTTCTTTTTGGTATAGGAGGTTGTACAATATATACACCAAGATTACAAGTTGGATTAGGTAAAAACTTGAGAAGACTAGAAAATGGAAGAGAACATTTTAAAGGCACACATGGGTTAAATGGCAGTTACAAGGATCTACATGTGATCTCCTCCCTGGGGGACAGATAGCAGAGGGGTGGGTGAGGGGAGACATAGGACAGGGCAAGATATGACAAAATAATAATTTATAAATTATCAAGGGTTCATGAGGGAAGGCTGAGCGGGGAGGGAGGGGAAAAAAAGAGGACCTGATGCCAGGGGCTTAAGTGGAGAACAAATGTTTTGAGAATGATGAAGGCAATGAATGTACAAATGTGCTTTACACAATTGATGTATGCATGGATTGTGATGAGTTGTATGAGCCCCGAATAAAACGATTAAAAAAACAATATATGAAGGTAAAAACATTTTTTTCTACATTGTTGTGATAAGTAGAAAAAAAAAGGAGTCAATCGATAAGCCATGCTAAATATTTCAGAGGTGAGGTTACTTCAAACTTCCTTATTAAAAACAATTCTAACTCTTAAGGGTTTCTGTGCACAGACAAGAAGTTGTGACATTTTATAGCAATACCGGAACATTTTCATTTGAATAAAGGAGTTTGCACTCTGTGAAGCTGCATGACAACAGGCAAGAGGGACCATCGTTGTCACCAGCCTGGCCTTCGTTTCGAGGGACAGAGATACCCAACCAGAGTGTCCGAGAAGGAGCAGGTCCTGGGGAGTTCAAGGCCACAGGTTTCCTGAGCAGAATCCTGGTGCTGTGAGGTTGGGGACGGTGGTTTCCATGGCATCAAGGTCGTGTTTCAAGGTGACCCTCTCTCTGGGAGCTGCTTGGCTGAGTGGTAGCTCAGATCCTTTCTCTGTCCTCTCTGACTGTGCTGGCAGCCTCTGTTTTTCCACGTGACTTTCCTATGGCCACTTGCCTTCCCCATAGGTGGACCTGAACAGAGAGTGGGGGCTTTCACAGGGACCACCCACAAGATCAGACCTCCAGGTTCAGGAATAAGGGACAGGACAGAGCTGACATGTCCGAGGGACCCATTTGGGTCTGTTGAGAGAAAAGGTGGCAATCAGTCTCTGCCTCCACTTCTTTGGCCAAAAGCCAGACCCATGTCTCAGGGGGGATATATTGTTTCCTGTGGCCAAGGTCAAGTTAAGAACAAGAACAACAACAACAACAACAACACACACACACACACACACACACACACACACACGCCAGAACCAACTACTGCTTTCTCTCTCAGGCTGCTGTGTGCGCTTGTCAAGTCTCTGTCTTGGGTGTCCACAGTAGAGTTGCAGCCTCAGGTATACCAAGGTGAGGGTTGGTAACCTCTTTGGTCAAAAGAGCTGGGGCCAAGTCCAGCCCATAAGTATGGGCCCTTGGTTATGAGAATGTGAGCCCAGTGTTTTCTTGAACCTCAA